ATGTGTTGTGATTATCTCCAGGCTCATCTGTGGTGCTTCAAAGAGCAGTGCTTCATTATTTTCCATGGCTAATATTCCATTGTGTACATGGACCACTTCTTCTTTGTCCATTCATCTGTTGATGGACATTTTGGTTGCTTCCATGTCTTGGCTTTTGTGAATATTGCTGCAGTGCACCTTTGCCAGCCTGTGTCTTCTCGACTCTGGTCAACTCAGGTGAAGGGCCCAGCGGTGGGCCTGCTGGATTGAATGGTACCTCAATTTTTACTTTGAAACGCAGTTATTTTCTGTTCTCATTATTGGCTCTTACCACTTTACATCTCACCAGCAGCCAGAGGGTACACAGTTCTCTAAAACCTCTTCAGCATTTATTGTTTGTAGACATTTTGCTGATGGTCATTCGACTGGTGTTTGTTGAAACCTTTTCGTAGATTAGATTTGCATGAGTCTAATAATTCCTGATGTTGACCTTTTATCCATTTTCTTTTTTTTTAATCAGTGTGTAAAACTTACCTCTCATACGATCTTGAAAATTTTGCTCTCTTTTGAGTTTTTTTCGCCATTCCCTACCTCAGAACATTTTTGGGGGGGCAGGTGGCCTTTACAGCCCTGAGTCCTTGTGAATATTAAATGACCATTAGCTGTGGTTTAAAGCCACTCTTGCGGGAAACGGCCACAAGGTGGCAAAATTTCTACATTTACAACTCAGGGAGTTGGGCAACAGAGCCTTCCTGGAAATCATGTTAGTAGGCTGTAAATTAGAGTGGAATGTGCCAAGGCAAACCCCCAACAGCTTATATCTCCTTACTTCTTGTTTGTTTTTTCAATTTAATTTTTATTTTTTATCAGAGCAAATTCGATAAAAATGTTGTGTATGTTCCAGGTGTACAGAATCTTGTTCATTATATCTATGTATTCATCTTTGGATCCTTTCCCATGGACGTTTTTACAGAGTGTTGAGTGGACCTCTCTTGATATTCCATACGTCTTTGGTGATTATATGTTTCATATGTATTAGTATAGGTCTGTCACCCCCATATCCTAATTTATCCATTCCTCCCCCCTTTCCATTTGGTTCAACATAATTTTGATTTGTTAATCCATGAGGGTCCT